GGTCCCCCTGCTGTCCGGTCCATTTGCATATTAGCCTTTTATTCTATACGATATTTAAAAAGGCGAGAGATTTATGTGGTCTGAAGAGAAGCCAGAGCATTATTCTTTGTGATATTTAGAAGTGTGTGTGTGTGTGTACAGCCGAAACCGGTGTGGCTCAGTGGGTAGAGCGTCAGCCTGCCGACTGAAAGGTCCCGGGTTCGATTCTGGTCAAGGGCGTGGACCTTGGTTGCGGGCACATCCCCAGTGGGGGCCTTGCAGGAGGCAGCTGGTCAGTGATTCTCTCTCATCATCGATGTTTCTAGCTCTTTCTCCCTCTCCCTTCCTCTCTGTAAAAAAAATCAACAAGATATATTTTAAAAAATTACATTAAAAATATAAATAAGTCTGTATTTGTTTTTGTTTTTTTTGCAAACTGGTTCAGTTTTAAACGTCGGAGCCGGACGGGGGGTTTGGGGGGCCCTGATGGCAGTGTCAGGTCCCCGGAAGGAGCTGGCCTCCCTTTTCCTGTGGCTCCTGCTTGAACAAAGGAGGGGCGCGGGGAGACCCCGGCAGGGGGAGAGGCGACGAGGGGGCCTGCGAGCTTTCGGAGTCGGACGGGGGCTGAGTGAGGGCGATGCAGACACTGACAGGTGTTCCCGTCTCTCCCCAGGGCCCCCCCTGAAGTACCGCCGCCCCCAGCACCGCGGCTCGGCTCCCCGGAGGCCCTGAGCCGCGCTGGGCCTGCGGGCAGGAACCCTCTCCACACGCCTCCTCCGTCCGGACTGTCCCCCTCGGGCGTCTGCCGCGGCCCAGCCCACACCACTGCCCCGTCCAGGCCCGGCCGGCCGGCCGACGAGGGAGGCGCCGTCGGCACAGATCCGCAGCCGAGCCTTCGGACGAGACCTCGCGGCCAGCACCCAGCCCACCCTCACTCCGGGCAGCGTTTCAATTGGCCTCTGACACAGGCCTTCACTTCAGAGAGGAAGGGAGGGAGGCAGGGAGGGAGGGACGCCCACGAGGAGAGAGGATCCTGGACCGGCTGCCTCCTGCATGCCCCCCGCTGGGGACGGAGCCCGCCACCCGGGCCTGTGCCCTGGACCGGGAATCGAACCCGGGACCTCCTGGTTCCTAGGCCGACACTCAACCACTGAGCCACACTGTCTGTGCTAAATCTTCCAAAATTTCATTTATTTATTTAGTGCAACATACATTTGTATGGATTTCAGAGAGAGGAAGGGAAAGGGGGGGGGGGAGAGAGAGAGAGAGGAGAGAGAGAGAAACATCCACGACGAGAGAGAATCAGAGACCGGCTGCCTCCTGCGCCAGGAGGTGAGGGTTCGATTCCCGGTCAGGGCACAGGCCCGGGGGGCGGGCTCCAACCCCAGGAGGGGGCGTGCAGGAGGCAGCCGGTCCGTGATTCCCTCCATCACTGATGTTTCTCTCTTCCTTTCCGAGGTCAATGAAAAATACACGGGGCGGCCGGAGGAGGAGGGCGATCAATGAACGCAGAACCGTCCGGCCGCCCCGGGTCTGTCCTGGAGGATAAAAGGCGAACGACAGGCACAGGGTCCCCCCGACCGGGAGTCCGACCGGCAGGCAGGCCGGCCGACCGCCCACGTCCCCGCCCCCTGGCCAGGCCGGCCAGACCCCACCCATGCACGCATTCATGCACCGGGCCTCTCATATATTCAACAACAGCAAAAATAGCCAAAGCCGGTGTGGCTCAGTGGGTAGAGCGTCGGCCTGCGGACCGAAGGGTCCCGGGTTCGATTCCCGGTCAAGGGCATGGACCTCGGTGGCTAAGGGCACATCCCCAGTGGGGGGCGTGCAGGAGGCAGCTGGTCGATGTTTCTCTCTCATCGACGTTTCTAGCTCTCTGTCCCTCTCCCTTCCTCTCTGTAAAACATCAATAAAATATATTAAAAACAGAAATAAAACCACCAAACTCAGAGACAGCGAGTCTGTCCTCTGAGCTCCTGTGTGGCCACACGGCCAGCTCCCCCGCTAACGGATTTTATGGCAGATCCCCCGCGGACAGAGCGGCCAGCCGAGCCTCCAACGCCGTCACTTCCTTTTTATTTTACTTAATCGTAGCGCGAAGGTCACTGCCTGCCCCCGGCCAAACCCAGAGGGTCCAGGGGACTCTGGTCCCTGCCCCCGGCCACGTCCAGGCCATAACTTATTTATGTCTGTGATTAGAACGTTTCGTGTGTGTGTGCGTGTGTGTGCATGTGTGCGCGCGCGCGCGTGTGTGTGTGTGATGTTATCTAGACATGTACTCTTGTAAAAAAAAATTGTAAAAAACAAAACAAGACAAACACAGCCCCACACGTCATTGTAAATACCCCCCTGTGCTCTGAGGCGCTGTTTCCACGTCGGAGACTTTGTACGTACGGACACCGCAATAAAGTTTTCTGCAGCTGCAACGGTGAGCTGGACCCTTTTATTGGCTAAAAAAAACCAAAAAAACAAAAAAACCCTCCAAAAAAATCCTCCAAAAAATGGCCCTGGCCGGTGTGGCTCAGTGGATAGAGCGTCGGCCTGCGGATGGAGGGGGTCCCGGGTTCGATTCCCGGTCAAGGGCATGGACCTGGGTGGCGGGCACATCCCCAGTGGTGGGCGTGCAGGAGGCAGCTGGTCGATGTTTCTCTCTTGTCGACATTTCTAGCTCTCTAGCTCTCTCCCTTCCTCTCTGTAAAAAAATCAATAAAATATATTTAAAAGAAATTTAAAAAAAATATAGTTAAAAAATAATAATAATAAAAAGAAAGAAAAAAGGAATAAAATAAAATTTCCCAGCCACACGGAGGGAGAAGAGGAAGGCATTCCGCCAGCCCCGCATTTTCTGAATTTTTTTAAGGTCAGACTCGCTTCTCAGTGCCGCTTGCAAGAACCCTCAGCGTGCGAAGGAGGACTTTGCAAATACTTGAGATAAGATCACCACGTTGAATGTCAGAGGGTTTTCCCCAGCCAAGAGCCAGCCTGTGCGTGAGAGGTAACGCACACCCTGTAAAACGGTCCCCTTCAAATGTTCTAACAGCCACGGCCCTCGTGAAAAAATTCCAACTTTCCCCAAGGCCCACGGCACCTGGCGGGAAGGCCCCAAGTCCAACAGAGTCTGATGTTTACTTTCTTGTAATCCCGAAGCAGACAGAGCTGGCCATGACGGCTGAGAGCATTCCAGAGTTACTTCACCCCCAAACCATGTCAGTAAACCTGGAGCCAGGCCGACAGATGTTCGTGTTTTATTCCTTCAAGCATCACTTAACAAAACCTTTTTTAAAAAATACGTTTTTATTGATTTCTTTACAGAGAGGAAGGGAGAGGGAGAAAGAGTTAGAAACAGCAATGAGAGAGAGAAATATCCACCAGCCGCCTCCTGCACGCCCCCCACTGGGGATGTGCCCGCCACCAAGGTCCATGCCCCTTGACCGGGAATCGAACCCGGGACCCTTCGGTCTGCAGGCCGATGCTCTATCCACTGAGCCACACTGGTCTGGGCTGACCACCTTCTTGAAATACATTTCCCAAACCCTTCTCTCTTTTCATCCTCCGCCTCAAATTAGGCAAATCATCGAATAATAATAATAATTAATAATAATAATAATAATAAAAACCTAGCCGAAACCGGTTTGGCTCAATGGATAGAGCGTCGGCCTGCGGACTGAAAGGTCCCGGGTTCGATTCTGGTCAGGGGCATGGACCTGGGTTGCGGGCACATCCCCGGTAGGGGGTGTGCAAGAGGCGGCTGGTCGATGATTCTCTCTCATCGACGTTTCTAGCGCTCTCTCCCTCTCTCTTCCTCTCTGTAAAAAATCAATAAAATATATTAAAAAAAAAAAAAAAGAAAGAAAAAACCGAAAAGCCACATGGGAATTTCCAGCAGACAGGCCTTGCCCGCGGGGCCACAAGGTATGTGTCCAGGAATGTCGAGAGGCTCAGCAAAAGCAAACACTCTCAGGATTGGGCCGACACCCCCTCGGAAGCACCCCGAATTCTGCTCGAGAGTGTGTCTGGCCCAGCTCAGCCAGGCCTGCCCGACCGGCCACCTCCTGGGGAATTTCCTTTCAGCGTACATGGATCCAGGCACCAAGCCTCTTAGTTACAACAACAACAACAACAACAACAGTACCGTGTTTCCCCGAAAATGAGACATCCTCCGAAAATAAGACCTACGACCAGGTTTCCTTCTGAGTGACATAGAAGGCACCCCCCCCCCTGAAAATAAGGCCCCCCCCAGGCTAACCATGAGAGATCTGGCCCACGGATTCTGAGAGAAACGAGGTCACAAGAAATCCACCGGGAAATCCAGGAATGGGATGGTGGGGATGATGTTCCAGAAGACGATGATGACACGATGGTCATGGAATCAATGACTAAATTCTTTTAAAAAATTTAAAAAATATATATTTTATTGATTTTTTTTTTTTTTTTTACGGAGAGGAAAGGAGAGAGACAGAGTTAGAAACATGGATGAGAGAGAATCATGAATCAGCTGCCTCCGCACACACCCGCACATGGGGATGTGCCCGCAGCCAAGGTCCATGTCCTTGACCGGAATCGAACCCGGGACCCCTCAGTCTGCAGGCCGAGGCTCTATCCATTGAGTCACACTGGCCAGGCTTCTTCAGATTTGCTTTTAAGAAAATATGAGCCCTGACCGGTGTGGCTCAGTGGGTAGAGCGTCGGCCCGCGGACGGAAGGGTCTCGGGTTCGATTCCCAGGTCAAGGGCAAGGACCTTGGTGGCTGAGGGCACATCCCCAGGTGGGGGGCGTGCAGGAGGCGGCTGATGGATGATTCTCTCTCATCGATGTTTCTAACTCTCTATCCCTCTCTCGTCCTCTCTGTGAAAAATCAATAAAATATATTTTTTAAAAAATCAATTTGTCACTTTATGTAGGAAAAAAGTTTTTTTTTCCTGAAGGTCCCTTCTTCCGGCACCAGGGGGCGCTGTTATCCAGCAAAATTCATGCTTCTGTGTATCCCAGCACCAGGGGGCGCCATTACCCAAGGTTCCCGGGAACAGCTGGTGTATTTTCTTAGGACACAGCACAGTGCCATTTCTTCCGAATAAAAACAACATGCTAAGCCCATAATAGCAGCTCAGAGATGCCTTTTCTTTTTCTTTCTTTAATTTATATATATATATATATATATATATATATATATATATATATATATATATATATTTAAATTTCGTTATTAAATTATTATCTCTGTACATGAGAGGCCGTTTGCAGAGAGAAAGAAATGATTATCATTCGGTGATTTAAAAAAATTTTTTTTTAAATCCGGACACACTGTCATTCAACCTTTGGCCACTGGAGACGTTGAGGGATTTATCCGTCTTTTGTATCTAACTGAAGGAACACTATGACCTTCAGTTACCAGACTCTCCATGGTTATTTCAAAAATCAACATGTCACTTCACGTGGGGAGAAAAGATATATATATATATATATATATATATATATATATATATATATATATATAATTGATTTTTATTACAGAGAGGAAGAGAGAGGGATAGAGAGTTAGAAACATCCATGAGAGGGAATCATCGATCAGCTGCCTCTTGCACATCTGCCTATGCGGATGTGCCCGCCACCAAGATCCATGCCCTTGACCGGGAATCGAACCCGGGACCCTTCAGTCCGCAGGCTGACGCTCTATCCACTGAGCCACACCGGTTTCCGCTGGGATTGGTTTCAGAGAGGGAGGGAGAGGGAGAGAGAATCATGGATCGGCTGCCTCTTGCACACCCCTTACTGGGTATGGAGCCCACAACCCAGGCCTGTGCCCTTGCCCAGGAATCGAAACAATGACCTCCTGGTTCATACATCGATGTTCAACCCCACACAGTTGAAACCACCCTGACCAGGGCCCTGGGGTTGTCCCTTTTTCCGTTGAGAAACAACGGAAAATAAATATCCTGAACGAATGTTCTGTTTCTGGATTTTTAAATTTTTATTTATTTATTTATTTATTTTGCTTTCTGCCTTTCCCTAAGTGTGTATTTATTGGCCAATTTCACAGCGTTATACGGCCGACCAGTCCATCTTTACGGAGTGCCTACCACAGGAGGCTCCAGGAAAAATAAAATAAAATAGTGATTATAAATCATGTTCTATTCGTGTCATCCTTGTGTTTTTTTTTTTTAATATATTTTATTGATTTTACACAGAGAGGAATTGAGAGGGACAGAGAGTTAGAAACATCGATGAGAGAGAGTCATCGATCAGCTGCCTCCTGCACGCCTCCCACCGGGAATGTGCCCCCCACCAAAGTCCGTGCCCTTGACTGGGAATCGAACCCGGGACCCTTCAGTCTGCAGGCCGACGCTCTATCCACTGAGCCACACCGGTCCCGGCCGTGTCATCCTTGTCTGAAGGTTACATTTGTTATGGCACGTTAGCTCGGGGACGTGAGTATTTTAATGATGCCGGCTCCATCCATTGCATTAGAATTTGCAGAAAACGAATGAGGATGCTAAAACGTACTCAGTTCCAAGAAGCTGAGTCTCGTAAGGATAGAGTTTTCATTTGGAGATACAAGATGTGTTCTCAATGACTGCGTTTCCTTCTTCTCCACGTCATTGCACCGTCCTCTTAACAATTCATGTTTTTTCAACCCGATTTAAAGCACTGGAAAAGAACCCGAAACTCCATGCCAATGCTGAGCGATTTGCACATAATAGTGTGAGCTAATAATCGACAGGTTTTTGCTATCCATGTTATTGCGGTTAAGAATAATAACAATTATTCGAAACCGGTGTGGCACAGTGGATAGAGCGTCGGCTTGGGGACTGAAGGGTCCCGGGTTCGATTCCAGTCAAGGGCATGGACGTCAGTTGCAGGCATATCCCCAGTAGGGGGTGTGCAAGAGGCAGCTGGTTGATGTTTCTCTCTCATCGATGTTTCTAACTATCTCTCTCCCTTGCTCTCTGTACAAAATCAATAAAAAAATATATATTAAAAAAAAAAAAGAAACATCGATGAGAGAGAAACATCAGTCTGCTGCCTCCTACACACTCCCCGGGGATGTGCCCGCAACCAAGGTACATGCATGCCCTTTACCGGGATCGAACCCGGGACCTTTCAGTCCACAGGCTGGCGCTCCATCCACTGAGCCAAACCGGTCAGGTCACTGTCCTCTTAACAATTCCTGTTTTTTCCAACCTATTGAAATCACTGGGAAAATAATCCAAAGCTCCATGCCAATGCTACACGATTTGAAAAATATTCATTTGAGCTAATAATCGACAGGTTTTTGGTATCAAAGTTATTGCGGTTAAGAATAATAACAATTAATTGAAACCGGTGTGGGTCAGTGGGTAGAGCATCAGCCTGCGGACTGAAGGGTCCCAGGTTCGATTCCCGGTCAAGGGCATGGACCTTGGTGGCGGACACATCCCCAGTGGGGGGCGTGCAGGAGGCAGCTGATCGATGTTTCTCTCTCATCGACGTTTCTAGCTCTCTATCCCTCTCCCTTTCTCTCTGTAAAAAATCAATAAAATATGTTATTTATTTTAAAAAACCGAGGCTTATCAATAAATGCTACATTTTCAAACTGCTTTTCTGTAATGCAAATAGCTTGATATTTAGTGCCGATGCCAGGTGAGGAATATCTATAGATTAGTTCAGAATCTCAGAGATAAATCTGATCATAAATGACACTTCTGGAGAATCTCTACTTTGTGTGCAAAGTGTCCAAAGTTCTTATGCACGTGTACGTACACATACACATGATCCTATATCATAAAAGACCAATATGCTAAGAGTCCAACCGTTCATTGGTTGACCGTTTGACCAGTCGCTATGATGTGCACCAACCACCAGGGGGCAGACATTCCAACCTGCAGGTTTGTTTGCTGCTGGGCAGTCCAGCCAATGGAGACCGGAACCCTCCCCTGCTGGCCAACCTCCTGCGTCCCCGACCCCGACCGCACCCCGCTGGTGCCCCTCGGCCTGGCCTGCGCCCTCTCTCAATCCGGGACCCCTCGGGGGATGTCGGAGAGCTGGTTTCGGCCCGATCCCCCCAGGCAGGCCGAGGGACCCCACTGGTGCATGAATCTGTGCACTGGGCCTCTAGTATAATATACACGGAGCGGCCAGATGATGATGATTTCTGAACGCATAATCATCTGGCCACTCAGAGTTTGTGTGTGTGTGTGTGTGTGTGTGTGTGTGTATTAGAGGCCCAGTGCATAAAAGTGTGCATGGGTGGGGGCCGGCCATCCTGGCCAGGGGGAAGGGATGTGGGTGGTCGGCCGGCCTGCCTGCTGGTCGAATTCCCGGTCGAGAGGACCATTTGCATATTAGCCTTTTATTTTATAGGACAGACAGGAAGCAGCAAGATGATGATGATGCGTCCAGAGATCATAATAATCTGGCCACTCAAAGTATATAGATATAGATATAGATATAGATATAGATATAGATATAGATATGACATAGATATAGATATAGATATAGCTGATAGATATAGAGACAGATATAGATGACATAGATATATAAATATATAGCTTAGAGGCCCGGTGCATAAATGTGTGCATGGGTGGGGTCTGGCCAGCCTGGCCAGGGGGAGGGCACGTGGACAGTTGGCCGCCCTGCCTGCTGGTCGGACTCCCGGTCAAACTCCAGGTGGAGGGGGCCATTTGCATATGAGCCTTTTATTACATAGAATACCTACGTGTGGTAGGAGGGGCATGAGATTTTTTTGGGGGGATGATCAGTTTTATACTGTCTAACCCCAGGGGTGCAGATCTGAAACTTATGCATGTCAGCTCATTGAAAAATAATTTAAATAATGATTAAAAAAAAAAAAAAAGGGAGTGCAGGAGGGACTGGAGAACCGTCCACATGGAAGCTGGAGGGCGATTCCTGCAGGGTCGTTTTTTTTGGGTGAAGCAGAGAGGCGTTGTTTATGGGAGAAAGGATGGGTCAGGTCCTAAATTTAACCACGCAAAGCTGCTTCCAAAGTCTGTCCACCCCCTGGCTGTCCGACTCCGCTCCCACCTCCCGCTTTGCAGAGCTCAGAGAGGTTGTGCAACCTGCCCGAGGTCACACAGCAAGCGGCTGACCCAGGAAGTGGCCGCTCCCCGAAGCCGCAGCCCGGCCTTCCCGATACAATCCCATAAAAATCATCCATGGGCGCCCAGAAACCCCACAAGGCGTGCCCAATCCGGGACACAACCTCGTCCTGCCCTGGGGCCCGCCCACAGGGGCAGCTGGACGGCACTGAGGCTGGGGGAAAGGGGGAAGAATTACTTCCGCCCCAAGGGTGGTGGTGGTGGGGGGAAGCGGGGAAGAACTACTTCCGCCCCGAGGCTGGGGATGGCGGGGGAAGAATAACCACTTCCGGGGCGCAGACGCAGAGAGGGCCAAGCACTTCCGGGGCCCCGCACGTGAGGGTCGTTCAGGGTCGGCGGACTCGGAAGGGAGGGCCTGCTCGCCGGTGGCGGCAAACGGCTCGCAGCGACTGAAACGCACCCCAAGGTGTCGGCTCGGCAGGATTCAGGGCTCCGGACCAGACTGCCGGGTCCGTTGTCCGTATTCGGGGGCGGGCCCTTGGGTCTAGCGGCCCACTGCGCGCCGCCATGATGAGTGCGGCCGTTTAAATAGAGGAGGCGGGGCCCAGCGGACCCTCGCGTCCGCGCGGTGACGTTACGGACCCGAGCGGATAGGCGGGTCTTCCTGGAAGGGCTTACGTGGTAGGCGGAGCCGTATTGAGTGACGGCCCGGCCCTTCTTTTCGGTTAAGGCGGGGAGGTGGGGCGTTTAATACGGAAGTGCCGCAGGCCTCCTTGGATAGGCGGAGCCACATTGAGTGACGGCCTGGCCCCTCCTTCCGGTCGGGGCGGGGAGGTGGGGCGTTCAACACGGAAGTGCAGCTTGCCTGCATGGGTAGGCGGGGCGGGGTGAGGGCGAAGCCGGGTGGGGGCGGTCTTCGGTCGCCCAGACCTTGCTTGGGGGCCCCTCGCGGGCTGTTATTGTCTCCCGGGGCCTGGCATGGCGTCCTGCGGGGTCCTGTCTCCTCCAGGCCGCGGGTGCACACTGGGCATGGGCAGTCCGGCCGCCTGGCCACTGAGCCACCCCGTCCCTCACCCCCCTCCATCTGACCCCACTTGAGGCTCAGCTGCAAAGGCCTAGCTGCGTCCCCCACGAGACCCAGCCTGATGGCCCTGGAATTGGGGTCCCTGAGCCCCAAGTGGGGTCCTAGCAGAACAGCAAGGTGGGGCGGGGGGCAGGATTTCAGCTCAGAGTTAGGTGCCTTCCAGGCATCACGTGGTGCGGGTGCCATTGCTGACCTCAGTCCTGACCTCAGATCGTCCTCAGAAAGAACCTGGTGTGTGTGTGTGTGTGTGTTAACCGTCTCACCGCGGGATTGCATAATTGGGGAGCATCTGTTTTGTTTTGTTTGCTCCGAAGACAACGTGGGTGCCCCAAACGCAGAGGAGAGGGCAGGGAGCAGGGCTCTGTCTTTGCAATGGACCGTTGCATTTGCAATGGATCAATGCATTTGCAATGGACAGATGCATTTGCAATGGATCAATGCCTTGGCAATGGATCAATGCCTTGGTAATGGATCAATACATTTACAGTGGACAGATGCATTTGCAATGGATCAATGTATTTGCAATAGACAGATGCTTTTGCAATGGATCAATGCCTTTTGCAATGGACAGATGCATTTGCAGTGGTTCAATGGACCGGTGCACTTGCAATTTCCCAATGCATTTGCAACTGACTATTCGCAATTGATCAATGCATTTGCAATGGATGCATGCCTGGTCCCCATGATTGGAGGTCCCTGCAGTACAGCAACCCCCCACAAACTCCCACCCCGCACCCCCAAGTGACACAAAAAGGTCAAGAAATAAAGACCAGCCGAGACGGGTTTAGCTCAGTGGATATTTATTTATTAAAAAAATAAATAAATAAAAATAAGTAAATAAAAGCTCATCCAGGTGGATTGGCTCAGTGGATAGAGCGTCGGCCTGCGGACTGGAAGGTCCCGGGTTCGATTCCGGTCAAGGGCATGTACCCTGGTGGTGGGCACATCCCCAGGTGGGGGGTGTGCAAGAGGCAGCTGGTTGATATTTCTCTCTCATCGACGTTTCTAGCTCTCTATCCCTCTCTCTTCCTCTCTGTAAAAAATCAATTAAAAAAAAATATATATCTAAATTCTTTACAGGTTTCCATGGTTTTTTTCGTTAACAGTGTTTTTTTCTGGCCAGTTTCTCAGGTGCCATGAAGCAGATCCTCAACCTGTCCTTTGCAGCCTGCGGCTTCCTGGGCACCTACCACCTGGGGGCAGCGTCGGCCTTCCACCGGCACGGCCAGCTGCTACTGCAGGCCGTCCAGGCCTTTGCTGGGGCCTCGGGCGGGTCCCTGGTGGCTTCTGTCCTGCTCACAGCGCCCGAGAAAATAGAGGTAACGTGGCCCCTTGGCAACAAATCTACCCTGTTTCCCCAAAAATCAGACATCCTCTGAAAATAAGACCTATGTACAGGTTTCCTTCTGAGGGACATAGAAGGCATCCCCCCTGAAAATAAGCCCCCCCACCCCTCCCAGGCTAACCATGAGAGATTTGGTCCACGGATTCTGAGAGAAACGGAGTCACAAGACATTCACCAGGAAATCCAGGAATGGGATGGTGAGGATGATGTTCCAGAAGAGGATGACACGATTGTCATTGAATAAATGAGTACATTCTCGATCCTGTAGGATTTACAGTGTGTTCGTCCTGCCGTACCGTCTACAGGGAATCAATTTCCTTTATGTTCATTGAACCATACGTGTGTACTGTATTCTTCTTCATGGAAAAATGAGACATCCCCTGAACATAAGACCTAGCGCATCTTTGGGAGCAAACATTAATAGAATACACTGTCTTATTTTCGGGGAAACAGGGTCTATGCAGCCATCTTGCCAGAGGCTCAGGCTCAGCTGGCTGCCTGCTTGGCTTGAGGGACAGAAAAGGGTTTAACATTTAAAAATATATATATATTTTATTGATTTTTTTTTACAGAGAGGAAGGGAGAGGGAGAGAGAGCTACTAACATCGATGATGAGAGAGAAACATCCATCAGCTGCCTCCTGCACGCCTCCCACTGGGGATGTGCCCGCCACCAAGGTCCATGCCCTTGACCAGAATCGAACCCGGGACCTTTCAGTCCGCATACTGACTCTCTATCCGCTGAGCCACACCGGTTTCGACTTGGCTGTATCTATCTTTTGGTTCATCAGTTTATAACGTTCTTTATCATCCACAAATGAGTGAGATCCTGTGGTGCTTCCCTTTCATTGACTGGCTATTTCACTCAGCATGATGCTCTCCTCTTCCATGCAGGCGGCTGCCAATGCTAAGAATGCCTCCTTTTGCCGAAACAGGTGTGGCTCAGTGGATAGAGCATCGGCCTCGGACTGAAAGGTCCCGGGTTCAAGGGCTTGGACCTTGGTGGCGGGCACATCCCCAGAGGGGGGCGTGCAGGAGGCAGCGGATGGATGATTCTCTCTCATCGATGTTTCTAGCTCTCTATCCCTCTCCCTTCCTCTCTGTGAAACATCAATGAAATATATATATATTTTAAAAGAATTCCTTTTTCCTGGCAGCGTAGTATTCCATGGTGCAGCCGGACCGCAGTTTTGTGATCCAATCCTCTGCCGACGGGCACCTACCTGGGCTGTTTCCCAATCCCAGCGGTGGTGGTGGTGCTGCTGTGGACGTGGGGTGCCTGTGTCCTGTCCGATGGTGTCTCCGGTCTCTGGGGACATAAGCCCAGGAGAAGGGTGACTGTCTGGAAGCGGACGGGCCTCTGGACAGAAATGCCGTCTGTTCCGTCCCCTGCAGGACTGCAGCCGGTTCGCGTACCAGTTCGCCGAGGAGACGAGGCGCCACACGCTCGGGGCCCTGACCCCGGGATTCGATTTCATGGCCAGACTGAGGTACGGGCGGGCGTGCGCGACCATAGACTGTCACTTTATAACGTTATAGCAAATTACATTGTATTGCAACGTATTAGTCTATAATACAAACGTCATGGTAATAAATCGTAATGTAATGCACTATAAAGAAATTACAATGTAATACAATTTTATATTATAATAAATTGTATTATATTATAATAGGTTGTTAATATATAATAATATAGCCGAAACCGGTTTGGCTCAGTGGTAGAGCATCGGTCTGCGGACTGAAAGGTCCCGGGTTCGATTCCTGTCAAGGGCATGTACCTTGGTTGTGGGCACATCCCCGGTAGGGGGTGTGCAAGAGGCAGCTGTTCGATGTTTCTCTCTCACTGACGTTTCTCTATACCTCTTTCCTCCTCGCTGTAAAAAAATCAATAAAATATATTAAAATATATATATAATATAATTATATATTATAATATAATATAATTTAATGATATTATATTGTATTTATATTACATTATATTTAACTATATATAATATAATATATAATTTAATTTATTATAATATAATTATATAACAATTATGTTATAATTAAATTATATAATTTATTATATTATAATCATTATATTATATTTTAATTTATTATAGTATAATAAACTATTATAATAATTTATTATTGTAACAAAAAAGTAGTATAGTTTTCATAATAATAAAATATTTATTTTTAATATATTTTTAGTTGATTGTCAGAGAGGAAGGGAGAGGGAGCTAGAGAGAGAAACATACACGAGGAGAGAGAATCATGGACCGGCTGCCTCCTGCACGCCCCCCACTGGGGATGTAACCTGCAACCCGGGCCTGTGCCCTGACCGGGAATCGAACCCGGGACCCTTCATTCCGCAGGCTGATGTCCTGTCCACTGAGCCAAACCAGTTAAGGTTAAATATATTTTATTGATTTCAGAGAGGAAGGGAGAGGGAGAGAGAGAGAAACATCCATGAGGAGAGATGTTGGGAATCGAACCCGGGACCCTTCCGTCCGCAGGCCGATGTCCTGTCCACTGACCCACACCAGTCAGGGCCCAGGGATCCCATTTAAAATAAACAAAAAGGCCCTGGCCGGTGTGGCTCAGTGGATAGTGCGTCAGCCTGGGGACTGGAGGGTCCCGGGTTCGATTCCCGGTCAAGGGCACAGGCCCGGGTTGTGGGCTCCATCCCCAGTGGGGGGCGTGCAGGAGGCGGCCAATCCATGATTCTCTCTCCTCATGGATGTTTCTCTCTCCTCCCTTCCTCTCTGAAATCTGTAAAAATATAGTTAAAATCACAAAAGCTGTATTAAATATACTTTTGTGACATTATACTATGTTAGTACAGTTTTGGTAATATATTTAAAATCTATTTGTGAGAAATATTAATGTTTATTGCATGTAAGATTATTGTATTTAAAATAGTTTTTCTTTAAATATTAGTGATTATTGCATGTAACATTATTATATTATGCTTAAAATCGTTATTCTTGAAATATTAGTGATTATTGCATGTAACATTATTATACTTAAAATCCTTTTTCTTAAAAAATATCAGTGATTATTGCATTTAACATAAATAATAAAATAAATTTAATAATATGTACATTTAAAAAATAAGTAATAGTCGAAACCAGTGTGGCTCAGTGGATAGATCATCGGCCTGTGGACACAAGGGTCCTGGGTTCGATTCCCGGTCAAGCGCACTTACCTTGTAACATTATTCTACTTAGTTGTTTTTCTTAAAACATTATATTTTAATATTACGAATATTTAAATTTATATATTTAATATGATACACAGAACATTTAATATTATATTTAAAAATCCTCAAAATATCAATGATCATTGCACGTAACAGTATAAAAAATGAAATAAATTAAAAAATGTGTATTTAAAAAAAAAATAATGGTAATGAATAATAATAACTGGGTGTGCCACGTCTCCCCTGCAGAGGCGGCCTGGAGTCCATCCTGCCGCCCGACGCCCACACCCAGGCCCACGGCCGCCTGCACGTCTCCCTCACCAGCGCCCGCACCGGGCGCAACGCCCTGGTCTGCAGCTTCGCCTCCCGCGAGGACCTCATCCAGGTAACACGCTTCCCTGGAGGCGTCGGCTGGCCGGCCCCTCGCCCCCGTGCCTCCCAGTCCCCTGTGGGCCTGGCCACGCGCTCATTCCCGCGGCCGCTCTCCTGGGCCCTGGAGTAGCCATAACACAAATAACACCTGAAACCGGTGTGGCTGAAGCTTGGCAGGTTGGCTAAGACGCCGTACCTGTATTACCCCGTGTCCCCGAAAATAAGACAGAGTCTTCTAATCATGTTTGCTCCCAAAGAGGCGCTAGGTCTTATGTTCAGGGGATGTGTCTTATTTTTCCATGAAGAAGAATACAGCACACACGTATGGTTCAATGAAAATAGATGGCCGAAACCGGTTTGGCCCAGTGGATAGAGCGTTGGTTTGGGGACTGAAGGGTCCCGGGTTCGATTCCGGTCAAGGGCATGGACCTTGGTTGCGGGCACATCCCCGGTAGGGGGCGTGCAGGAGGCAGCTGGTCAATGTTTCTCTCTCATCCACATTTCTAGCTCTCTATGTCTCTCCCTTCCTCTCTGTACAAAATCAATAAAATATATTAAAAAAAGAAAATAAAATAAAATAAAGGAAATGGATTCCCTGTAGATGGTCATTGTCAGCACAAACCAGACACACGGTGAATCCTACAGGATCGAGAATGGACTCACTGATTCCATGACCATCGTGAATCTCCTGTGACTCCATTTCCTTCCAGAATCCGTGGACCAAATCTCTCATGGTTAGCCTAGGGGAAGTGGGGGCCTTATTTTCGGGGGGATGCCTTCTATGTCACTCAGAAGGAAACCTGGACGTAGGTCTTATTTTCGGAGGATGTCTTATTTTCGGGGAAACACGGTACTTTTTTTGTGTGTTTCTTAAATTTTTTAACTAGAGGCCCGGTGCACAACGATTCATGCCAGAATGGGCCATCATCCCCCTCGCTGCCGGCAGCACCGCCCCACCCCCAGCCGCTCGGCAGCGCCTGTCTATGCAAATGAGCCCGCCATCTTTGCTGGGTTCTTTTGCATACCCACTCCCGATTGGCCAGTTGCTCTTTTTGTTTCTTAATATATTTTTATTGAATTTTTACAGAGAGGAAGGGAGAGGGATAGAGAGCTAGAAACAACCATAAGAGAGAAACATCGATCAGCTGCCTCCTGCATGCCTCCCACTGGGGATGTGCCCGCCACCAAGGTCCATGACCTCAACCGGAATCGAACCCGGGACCCCTCAGTTAGCAGGTCGACACTCTAACCACTGAGCTACACCGGTTTCGACTCTCGGAACCATTGAAGACGTTTTTTCTCAACGACGACATGGGATGCTGTAGGAAACTGCCACACGCCCATCCTCGTGTCCGAGCCTAAGTTGTGTCCCTCGCTCCCTCCCGCAGGTCCTGCTGGCCAGCAGTTTCGTGCCCCTCTATGCCGGCCTGCGGCCCGTGGAATACCAGGGACAGGTACGTTCCGACCCCCGACCGGGGCCCCCACCCCCTCGGTGACATACACAGGGAGAACCCAGGGCCGTAATTTCACTTCCTGGTGCTATGCAAATGAGCCCGCCATCTTTGCTGGGTCCATTTGCATACTCGCTCCTGATTGGCTGGTGGGCGTCACGGAGGTACGGTCAGTTGGCACGTTACTCTCCTTTTGTTTCTTAATACATTGTATTGATTTTTGGGGGGTTGAGGTCCTACTGATTTTCCAGACAGAAAATTCTGGCCTCCAGCCCGGCCCCCGTGGATCGGTGGCTGAGCATCGGCCTAGGAACCAGGAGGTCACGATTCGATCGGCCCCAGATTGAGGGTTGGTCCCCCAGTAGGGGGCGTGCAGCAGGCACCTGGTTTTCCCCTGGGCCCCGGGACCCCGGCCTCTTCAGCCTTCAGTCCCTTTTGATCCATGCAGATGTATGCAAATGAGCCCACCATCTTTGTTGGGTCGATTTGCATACCCGCTCCCGATTGGCTGGTGGGTGTCGCGGAGGTACGGCCAATTTGCATGGGTCTCTTTTGTTCATGTCGATGACCCTGTGAGGTTACTGTCTATAGAGTCTTTTTTTTTTTTTCCAGCAACAATTCTCCTCTTATTACTTTTAACAAATAACAACCAATAATAATAAAGATAAATAACATTAAAAAAATTAAAGCCAATATGTAGATACCCATACAAACACTACATATGACAAAGCTTATACAGCGATGTTAATATCAGAAAATGTAGATTTCAAATGAAAAGTGCTACCTAAACGGTGGAGTCAGACAACCACACATGTCATTCGTCCACAAAGTCTAGAAACCTTACATGTTTTTAAAACTTGGCCTCCAAATACTTGCCATTGATAAGGACAAATGTTTTAAAACTGTAACAACTTAGAAGACTTAACAATCTAAGGCCCTTGGACTCATTCAAACTCCAGGAACATTTCACACAACAACATAAGTTACAGATATTTTTTTTTCCACTTGCCTACATCTTAATCTCGGTCTTGAAACGATTCCCCCCAAAATTTCAAAGAACTGGAAATCATAGCAACTATATTCCACAATACCTCAAAACAAAAAGCAGTCAGAGAGTTAGAAAAATCCAAATATTTGGATATTAGCAAACTGTTCAAAATAAACCATTGGGCGTGGCTGAGTGGTGGAGCTTGGACCTAGGAACCAGGAGGTTACGGTTTGAATCTCGGTCAGGGCACACGCCCAGCTTGCAGGCTGAATTGCTAGTGTTAGGGCATGCAGAAGTATAGAATGTCTTTTGAAAAAATATATATTTGCCGAAACCAGTTTGGCTCAGTGGATAGAGCGTCGGTCTGCGGACTGAGGGGTCCCGGGTTCGATTCCAGTCAGGGGCGTGTGCCTTGGTTGCGGGCACATCCCCGGTGGGGGGCGTGCAGGAGGCAGCTGGTCGGTGTTTCTCTCTCAACGATGTTTCTAGCTCTCTATCCTTCTCCTTTCCTCTCTGTGAAAAATCAATAAAATATATATTAAAAAAAAAATAAAAAAAAAATAAAAATATATATTTTCGGGGAAACACGGTAGGAACCAGGGGGCCGGGGGGCACAGATGTTTGTTCTTGTCCCGACGAGAAGGCCCTTGGGGACGCGCCCGCTCGGTGGGGACTGAGTGGCCGGCCGGGCTGACCGGGGTCCTCCCCGCAGACCTGGGTGGACGGCGGACTCAGCAACAGCCTCCCGGTGCTGCCCGCCGGCCGCACCGTCACCATCTCGCCCTTCTGCGGCCGCCCCGACGTGTGCCCTCGGGACGGGGGGCCGCAGGGCATCCACCTGGCCGTGGCCAACCAGCACGTCCAGGTGAGTGAGGGCGGGCACTGAGCCCTGCTGACCTCCCCAGGGCCCTGGGCCTGAGAGCGAGCTCCCGCGGCACCCATCCTCTGTCAGGCGGCCTGTGCTCCGCCGCAGCTTCTCGTTCTGTTCTGTTCTTTCTTCTCTTCTCTGTTCTGTTCTGTTCTCGTCTGTTCTGTTCTATTCTGTTCTGTTTTGTTCTGTTTTGTTCTGTTCTGTTCTGTTCTGTTCTGTTCTCGTCTGTTCTGTTCTGTTCTCGTCTGTTCTGTTCTGTTCTCTTCTCTGTTCTGTTCTCGTCTGTTCTGTTCTGTTCTCTTCTATTCTTTTCTGTTCTGTTCTATTCTGTTCTGTTCTCTTCTTTTCTGTTCTGTTCTGTTCTATTCTGTTCTGTTCTGTTCTGTTCTCTTCTATTCTTTTCTGTTCTGTTCTCTTCTATTCTTTTCTGTTCTATTCTATTCTATTCTGTTTTGTTTTGTTCTGTTCTGTTCTGTTCTCTTCTGTTCTGTTCTGTTCTATTCTTTTCTGTTCTATTCTATTCTGTTTTGTTTTGTTCTGTTCTGTTCTGTTCTGTTCTGTTCTCTTCTTTTCTGTTCTGTTCTATTCTTTTCTGTTCTGTTCTATTCTGTTCTGTTCTGTTCTATTCTATTCATTTTATTTTATTTTATTTACTTTATTTTGTTTTATTTATTTTATTTTATTTATTTATTGTGTTTCATTTTATTTATTTTATCTTATTTATTTTATTTTATCTTATTTATCTTATTTTACTTATTTTATTTATTTTACTTATTTTTTAAATTGATTTTATTGGCTGTGGGCTCTGCCATCTTTGCGATGGTGTGACAGTCAATCAGCATACTCCCTCCTTGTTGACTGTGGATGCTGCCATCTTTGCGATGGCGCGACGGTCAATTAGCACACCCCCTCCTTACTAGACAGAATTGCTGGCCATCAGCTTACAGACACAGCACAGCACGGCCCTCCCTCAGCCCCACCCCCCGTCTCCCTCCCAGTTGTCTGCCGCCAACCTGGTGCGGCTCAGCCAGGCTCTGTTCCCGCCCGCCCGGCCGGACATGGAGGCCCTCCACCAGCGCGGGTTCGAGGACGCCGTGGGCTTCCTGCGCCAGGAGGGCTGGTTCCAGTAGAGACTTCCGGGCGCACCCCCCCCACGGAGCTCATTGCCGGCCCGGTCGACGGGGGATCCGTGATGAAATATCGCCGAAACCGGTGTGGCTCAGTGGGTAGAGCGTCCCAGTCAAGGGCATGGACCTTGGTTGCAGGCACATCCCCAGTGCGGGGCTGCTGATGGGTGTTTCTCATCCTCAATGTTTCTAACTCTCTATCCCTCTCCCTTCCTCTCTGTAAAAAAAAATCAATAAAATATATATTTTCAAACAAAGAAAGAAGCATTCGTTTTTGTTAAAATGTCCTATCATTTTATGTGAACGATGACGGCTGTATTTCAGACCTAAGTTGGGTGGGGTCCAGCCGGCCTGGCCAGGGGGCGGGGACATGGGCGGCCGACCGGCCTGCCTGCTGGTCGAACTCCCGGTCGAGGGGACCATGTGCCTGTGAGCCTTTTATCCTACAGGACGGACATGGGGCGGCTGGTCGATTCTGCGTTCAGAGATCACCCTCTGGCCGCTGGGTGTGTATAGATAGATATGGATATAGATATGGATATGGATATAGATATAGATATAG